TACTTTGGCTTTAGTCATATTTTTGTAGTGCATCACCAAAAATCTAAAATCAAAGCCCTACTAAGATCTCCTATCTCTTTCTCTCTCCATATCTCTCATTCATGACCACCATCTTTCAAGTTCACCACCACCATTTTTCCTTCTAAATAAAGTGTAAACTCATCTATTTTCCCTTCATTATAATTTTAAGCCATAACTTCTTCTTTTTTAGTAAATGATTAACATCGCTTTCGACTCCTTTCCACCTTGTTCTTGATTAATCTGGTAAGTTCTTATGGAACCTCTCTCTCTCTCTCTCTCTCTCTCTCTCGTTTTCCCTTGTCAGCTCTTCCTATGGGTTCCAATTTTGTTATGGATTAGCTTTGGTTTTGTATTGGTTTTTGATTAAATTGGCTCTTCGATTCTTAATTACTACAATAAAATCACGTTTTAGCAATTTTTGCTGCTGCTAGTAGTGGACAAAAAGTTTGAGAATTTAAATTCTTGAGGTGAATTTAGATGGAATTATTCGTTCCAAAAAAAAAAAAAAAAAGAAATTGGGTGGAATTAATCATTGACTTGTGTAATTAAACTTATTTCTTGATTTATTTCTATTTATGATTTACTTTTGTTTATATTTATGCCTTGTTTGATAAGTTAAAGATGGAGTTTTTGAATCAGTAATGGTATTTTAGTTAATAGAGTGGTTTTGTGTTTCCTGCTATGAGTGTTGTTTTAATTTTTTTCAACCTTGTTTTTTTGTTAAAATTTAGGATGAGCACAATTTTGATATTAAGCACTAGGGTGTGCTAATATTTAGAAAAATGTGGAATTTTCCTTCATGCTATTATTCATGGTGTTAGTAATATGGTTAGCATATTTTTATTGATTGGAGTTAAAAGAGGAAAAATCTTGATATATTATAGCGAGGGTTTGCTAAAATGGAATAACTAGTTGTTGATGTGAAAATATTGAATGAAATCAAGAACCCTTTATTTCTAAGTTTGTGGTAGATTGTAATGCATTTATAGAGAAGAGGTTGGCTTGTATTAATTTGTGGAATTTTCTAGATGAACTTGAAAGTTGAAGTGCGGCCTCAACTGTTAGAAAATTAAGATTCTTTTTAGTATGTTGTTTGTAATGCTTATAATTAAATTCTTAACCCTTTATATTTAATTGGTTGCAAACATGCATTATTCTATTCTATTATGATATTCAAGATTCAAGATCTCAAGATGGAGATTGACCACTTGAATAGAATTAACCCAGCTGTAAGTTTTAGTTTAGTGAATTTGATTATTTTCTTATTAACTAGTGAATCTAGTTAATATCTTATAAATTTTCTTGAATTAATCATGAAAATTTTGACCCTTTTGGTATAGGGTGTGAGTAATGTAGCTCATGTTGATGTACCAATGATAGAATGTGTTATTAAGTTACGCAACAATTATGGTGAGGGTGGGAATGTTGGAAAAAAAAGAAAGCATATACAAAAAAGGTCAAAGGTATGGCTACACTTCACTACATTTCATGATCCAGTTACTGGTAAGTAGAAAGCAACATGTAATTATTGTGGAATGGTGTTATATGTTGAACCTAGGAGAAATGGTACTTTTACCATGAATGGTCATGTTAAATGTTGTTTAAAAACCTTAATAATTTAAAGAACAACACTATTGAAGTATGTTAGTAAAGTAGATGGAAATAAGATAGTGATTGATTTAGGGACTTGGAAGTTTGATGAAGGTGCAGTGAAGAAAGCATTGGTTGAAATGTCAATTATTGATGAAGACTCCTTTAGCTTAGTTGAAAAATTAAGCTTTAGGGGGTTTGTGAAGTAGCATAACCACCAATTTTCAAAATTCCATCAAGGAAAACCATAACTAGAGAATGTTATGAAATCTATGTAGAACATAGAACTACCTTGAAAAATTTCTTCAATGAATCAAATCTAAGAGTGTCATTAACAACTAACAGTTAGACTAGCTTACAAAGAATCACTTGTATGAGCTTGATTGTTCATTTTTCATGCTAAGTGGAACTTACGTAAGAAAATACTCTATTTTTATCCTATTGATAGCCATAAAAGAGATGAGTTAAGAGATCTTCTTGTTAGACGTTTGAAGGATTGGGCGTTAGAGAAAATATATGCATTAATTGTTGACAATGCATTAGCAAATGATGGACTTGCAAGGGTTCTAAAAGATGCAGTGAATAAATGGAGAATTGCAATTCTTGGTGGGAAAGACATTTACATGAGATGTGCAACCCACATCATAAACTTGGTTGTTGGTTAGGGTACCAAAGAGAAAGAGATCAACAAGTTTGTGACTACCATTAAGGCTACAGTCAAGTATGTTAAGCAAAGTCCTATGAGGTTAAAGAGATTTAAAGAGGCTTGTGAGTGGGTAGAAATTGAATCCAAGAAGTTGCTATGTTTGGATGTCCACAAAAGGTGGACTTTACTTTACTTGATGTTAGACACTACTAAGAGGCTTGAGGAAGCTTTTGAGAGGTCAGTTTTATTTTATTTTATTTGTATTTTCTTTTTTTTTAATAATAATTTTTAGTTAGAAATCTTAGCTATTTATTTAATGGTTGAATTTTTTTTAAAGATATGTAAGACAAGACGCAAACATGAAGAATGAGTTGAACGATGGCCCAGATGCTCCTAGATTCCCTTCTTGCATAGATTGGGAAAATGTAAGAAGATTAATCAAGTTTCTATATCATTTCTATGAGTTGACAAGGAAGGTCTCTAGAACCTTGAATACCACCAACAATTTATATTTTCTCAAGCTTAGTGAGGTAATATATTTCCTTTTATAAGTAACACTTCATTTCAATTAAATTATAAGTTATAGATCTTGTTGAATTATTTTACTTGTAAGTTGAACATGTACTTAAAAAATGGGAATGAGATGTGGATCTTCATGATATTGTTGGTAGAATGAGGAAAAAGTATAAAAAGTATTGGGGGATTCCAAGGGTGATGAACAAAAACATCTTCTTTGTAGTGGTGCTGAATCCAAGGCATAAGATGGAGTATTTAGAGTACCTAATGTTAAAGATGTATGGTCATGACCTTGATGATGATGTGCCCCTTTATGTTGTTATGGTCAAACGTGAGATGGGAATATTGTTTGAAGAATATAAGAGGTTGAATGGCTCTATTGTAAAATCAAGTGATTGTCAATCATCTGATGAACAGGGAAGCAACTCTACCTCCACCACCAATATCCAAAGTGTGGTAGATTTAAAAAATAGACTGCAAACATCCCAAATGAGATTTGATTATAAGAAGTTTAAAGTTGCCAACGATAAAAGAGTAGAAAGAACAAAGTTAAAGAAGTAGTTGGCAAAAGATCTCGAGGATGAAGACGAAGACATTGATGTTCTTTAGTGATGGAAAATGAATGCGCATAGATTTATAGTGTTAGCAACCATGGGAAGAAATGTCTTGGCAATCCCAATATTTATTCTTGCTTTTGAATAAGCATTTAGTACTAGAGGTAGGGTCCTTGATACGTTTTGATCATCATTGACAATAAGAATGGTACAAGTTCTCATTTATGCATCATTGACAATAAGAATGGTACAAGTTCTCATTTGTGCACAAGATTGGTTGAGAGATAAGGCAAATTTTATTTCTGATATAAGGAGGAGGACTTGGACAAATTGGACAATTTAGAGAAAGGTAATATATTGTATGTTACATGTTTCTTTCAAATTCAATTATTTACTTAATTATGCAATTGAGAAAATTTTAACCATGAAATTGTTTTTTTTTTTTTTAAATTGATTTTACGGTCTTTAATAAGTTTTATTTAGATTCCACCATTCTTGAATGAATGGTGGATTTATTAATGGTAAGGTAATGGAAGAGCTGTCTTCCTGTTGATGACCACTTAAGATTTTTTTTCAAAATAATGAAAAATCAAGTGTGAAAAATATAAAAATGTGGGAGTCGCCACTCGTCCAAATTATAAGGTGGGACAAGTCATCTAAAACGGGCCTGTGTAGAGATCGGGGTTTAGGGGTTTGGTTAGGAATGAGGAAGGACATACGCGCATCTCATAATTCTCTGTTTAAACATGGTTGCATACTTTAACATTGGAGGTTTTGATTCAACTTATTTATTACATTTATGTTTGAGTCTTAATAAGCAAACTTGAAAAAAAAGATGAACCAAATCAAAACATTTTTTTATTTTTGGACTGAAATAGACAAAATCAAGAACATGCATGCACAATAAACACAACTAAAAATTAAATGGACTGATTTGATTAAAATAAAAATAAAGGACTGATTTGAAAATGCTTGAAACTTTTAGACTAAAGTGCTTGAACATGAAAGCATTGTGCGAAATTGAAATAAAAAAGATAACTTTTTAACCTTTTTAGTTTTTTTTTTTTTATTAGATTTGGTCGGGTTGATCCAGCCCAATAACAGATTAAAACCTAGACCAAAATGAAATCTGGACAAAAACAGAAAGGATCTGGATTTTCTGTTCGGTCATCCAACAAAACAGAAGAAAGAAAGCAAGTAAACATCCATTCCAATTCGGATCCATGAAATTCAACAAACATGCTTGATTTCATTCGCAGTATCATCATCTGGTACAGTCTTAATAAAGCAAAACTCTATGACAATCAGAATCAAACAAGGCGAAATTTCTGGAAAACAGCAGATTGAGATCCGAAGGGAGTGATCCCACCCACGGGATCAAGCTCCCTTCTTCTCTCTCACGGCTCTTCCCAAAAATTCCTCTGTTCAGAAATTACCTAAGGCAAACCCAGAAAACGTTTCCCTTTTTCTTTAAGCCGCTGTTGCACTCTCCCAAATCTGCACTCTCGAACCAGCCCTTCAACACCAGTGACGGAGACAGAGCTCACCAAAAAGGAGAACTCCCAAACCAGTCCCAAAATCAACAAAAATAACCCACAATCAAACTCCAAACTCCCCCCAAAAGACCCCCAAAATCAACTAACAACCACCACCCCCTATTACGCTGCTTTTGCCCTATATATATATACCCCAAACAACTAAATAAAATAAAAATGAAAAGGCAATCACTAATGATGCCAATTTGTCCCGTATTGTTTTTTTTTTTTTTTGCATGTGAGGCAAGGATGGGGCTGTAGCAAGCAGGAGTGCAGAGGCGCGGGATTGGCGGCGAGGCGCGGTGTGCAAGGAGGCAGGGGCGTGGAGTGCTGATGATGGCTTGGGCGTGCAGGGGCATCATTGCCAGCAGTGGGGCACAGCAGGGCAAGCAGAGTGCAGGCGATCTGGTGCAGAGCGCAGGAGCTGGTGCAGAGCAAAGCTGGTGCAGGAAGCAAGGCCGGGCGCAGCAGAGTGCAGACGATCTGGGCGCAGAGCAGGGAGCAGGGGCGCAGGCGCAAGGCTCGGGCGTAGGTGCAGGGCTGGTGCAGCAAGGCTGGACGTGCGAGGGGGCAATGATGGCTCGGTGTAGAGGAGTTGGGCGCGGTGCAGAGGGGAGAGGAAGCTGATTCGGCGAGCAGAGGCCAGGGGTTCAGAGGAGAGAGTGCAGAGGGGTGTGGCATGCATGATTGAAGGTGATGGCTGGCAGGGGGCGTTGGCTGGCAAGGGGCTGGTTCGGGAGAGAGAAAAGATTGATGTGGGGGGGGGAAGGAGAAGGTTCCAGATGCCTTCACTTTTCCCCTTTTTTTTTTTTTTTAATGGTTTTTGGGTTTGGGTTAAATGGGTTTTGGGTTTGGTTTTTGGGTAATTTTTGGTTTTGGGATTTTGGGTTTGGGTAGTTGGTAGGCTTTGGATTTTGGTTTTTTTTTGGGTTTTTTGGACTTTTGGGTTTGAGGCTTTAAATTTGAACTTCACCCCTCCAACTTTTGATTTCTTCAATTGAGTCCTTTCTTTCTCCTTCTTCCACTTTTTCCGCGAAATTTCCCTTTGCTTGCCAACCTAACAATGAAAGTAAAAATCGAACATATTAATGAAGATAAAAACTAAAATAAAAATAAATTTTTAAAAATTTTGAGTTATGACACCTCCAAGAAAGGCTTAATAGAATACTACATAATCTCTTTGCAGTTGAAAATTTCCTAGATGCCAAATTGATTAATTTAACAAGGTTATGTAGTGATGATCACCTTATTATGCTTTGTATTGATGCCATATTATAGGTTCAAGGTTAGTTAAACCCACGAGATTTGAAGCAACATGGCTAACACATGATAATTTCAAAATAGTGTTCATTAATGCTTGGCTTGAACATGGTTTCTCATTACCAATGGCCATTAATGTTGTTAGAACAACTTGTTTTGATTGGAACAAAATGGTGTTTGATGACATTTTTTTGGAAAAAAAGGCTTCTTAAAGCCTGCTTGATGGGGATCCAAAATTCCTTCCATTATCAACACTCACTTTTCCTTCAAGCTTTGGAGGTTGATTTATTGAAGGAATATCATAAAATCTTACACTTTGAAGAATTGTTTTGGTGTCAAAAATCTCGCACCAAATAGATTGCTCTGGGTGATTGGAATACAAAGTGTTGTCATGCTTCCACCATTATTCGGAAAAAGAAATAGAATCAAAGCTTTGAAAATAGACAATGTTTAGATCACATAACCCATGGCTTTGAGGGAACATGTTTGTAATTTTTTTATGAGTCTTTTCTCACAAAAAGAAACTCATGCTTTTTCCTTAGACTACTTGAGTTTCCAACCTAGACTCTCAGTTGAGGATAGTACCTCATTGCTATCCCCTGTTTCTTTGGAAGAAATTGGAACTGCTTTATTTTCCATTAAACGATTGAAAAGTCCTGGACTAGATGGACAACAATTGATTTTCTATTAGAGGCATTAGGAAGTGGTTGTGGGTACGCTTCATACTTTTATCAATAATTCTCAAACGGATGCTTTCTTTAAACCCTTCCTCTGATAGGCACATATAGCTCTTATTCCCAAAGAAGAGAAAGTCCGGACGCAATTTAAAAATTTAGGCCTATTTGTTTGCTTAATGTGGCATATAAAATACTCTTAAAGGTGTAGGTTAACAAGTTGCATCCCTGTTTACAAAACTTGATTGGCCTTCTTCAGAGTAGTTTTCTTTTAGGTAGAAGTACTATAAATAACTGAACTTTAGTTCAAGAGGCGATCATACCATGTGTAGAATGAGAGGTTAGAAGAGAGCCTTAAGTTTCAAGATAGGCTTACACAAGGCTTTTGATAGAATGAATTGGAATTTTCCTCTAAAGGTGCTAATTGATTTTAATTTGCCACTTGCATTAATTCAATCAATCATGTTTTCAGTCACCTCTCTGCAACATTCAATGCTTTGGAATGGTAAGGAACTTTTATACTTCTAACCTCAAAGAGGGTTACGATAAGGGGACTCGTTGTCACTTAACTTGTTCATTACTGTTATGAAGAAACTTTCACATATGATCTTGAGGTAGTCCAAGATCGTTCATGAAAACCATATTGGTTGCATGTGGTGGGTTGTCTTTTTCACATCTCTATTTTGTAAATAATCTCATCTTTTTATTTGAAGCCTTCGGATCCCAAATAGAGGTTGTAATGGAATGTCTTGTTGATTTTGCTTAGCTACTTAGGGCTAAAAATAAATTTAAGTAAATCCAAGCCCTTTGCTTCACCTAATATCCAACCGAGGGTTGCAAACTCACTCAACTCCCTCTTGTGGCATCGCCTTTACAAGTGACCTAGGGGTATATTTAGGGGTTCTTATCGTACATGACAAACTCAGTTCTCATACTTATAAGTATATCTTGGAATAGATTAAACTTAAGCTCGTTGGTTGGAAACAAACTTCTTTAAGTTTGGCTAGTAGAAGGGTGCTCGTGCAATCAATAACTTCTTTTATTTCAACATATATCATGCCAACTATGTTATTGCCAAGTAACACTTGTTGCTATTGATAGTCTCAATCGAAGGTTTCTATGGGGCTCTAATTTCCAACCAAATAAACCCCATTTAGTAAATTGGGAGAATGTTTACAAACTACACAAGTATGGTGGTCTAGGGTTGAGATCTGCCAGGAACAAGAATAGGGATTTAGTCACTAAGTTAGGTTGGCAACTGCTTCGAGACATAACAAACCATAATGCAAGGTTTTTAACTCGAAGATATCCATGCTCTAACACTTTTTTTAAATGTAAGCCTAACCTCATCTTTTACAACTTGGAGGAGCATCCTAAAGTGTAGAAATGTTTTGTAGCTAGAAGTGAGATGGCAAGTTAGCATGGGATTAAATATAAAAGTTTGGCAGGATATTTGGGTAAGTGATCAAAGTTTTTGGATTTTGCTCAACATGAAGTTCATTCAAATTTACTTGATATGTTTGTAGCGGATATCATTGATAATTCTAGAGAGTGGCAGTGGGTTGCGATTATTAAATTCTTAGTAGATAAGGTGCTTAGCTTAATTTTTGTTATTTTGCTACCTTTTACAAGACAAATAACAGATAACATGTTTTGGTATGCCTTTCCAAATGGAGATTTTACAATTAAATTTGCTTTTTAACTTATTCAACAACAATGCTTACTGATTGATTAAAATTTGGGAGGCTAGACATGGATATAAAGACTATGTTGCTCTAGAAGAATCAAACTCTTTGCCTAGTTGCTGAAAAGAGGACGAGTTCTTACTAACCCTATTCGTTTTGAAAGGCATATAGCTTCAACCCTAGTTTGCCCCCAATGTGAACAATCACTTGAAGCCCTCTGCACTTGTTACTAGATTGTTATTATTCAAAAATTATTTGAGAATCTATGGGTGATCTCCCCCATTATTTTTCACTCTAGACTTTGATCCTTAGCTAGACAAGTTTCCTAAGAAGAGAAGGACTATTAGTAGTCTCTAGGAGGGTTAGCTTAGTATATTTCTTACTATTGTATGGAACTTATGGAAGAGTAAAAATAAGCTCATTTTTGAGGATTCTAGAATTCTCTTGCACAATGTTTATTAGCTAGCCTACTCTCTAGCTTTGGAGATAAGATTAGCTTGGAGGTCTAACATGTTATGTCCTCCTAAGAAAGCAAGGTGGGTCAAATGGATCCCTTTTCGTCACCCATTGCTCAAGCTAAACATAGATGGCTCTAAAGATCACATAACAAGTGGGACTAAAGCTAGAGGTCTCATTTGGGACCATAATGGACGTTGGCTTCACGAGTTTTTTTTGCAAATATGGGCATCATTTCAAGCTTTGTTGTTGAATTGTAAGGGTGTAGAGAAGGTTTGGAACTTGCCCACTTTTTAAAAATATCATCTTGTTGATGTTAATTCAAATAGAAAACTTAAAACATAGGAGCCTGTCATCTTCGAAAGTCAAGCTAAACAAGTATATTACACTCTATATCCATCACATAATTTTGTTAGGAAAGAATGAGTTGTTGCAATGAAATACAAGGCAAGAAGTATTATTGAGATACCAGATGAACAAGGGAAACAAGATGACAATCTTGATCCTATTTTCAGGATGATGACTTTCCAGCTCCCTAACCAACCCATTTAGACCTCATATTATATGAATTTATGCAACATACTAATGGAACTATAGCTAGCATTAATGCAAAAGTTGAGGATGTGAATGATGATAGAGAATTTGAGGAAAAGTAAGAGAAGGAGAAGGAGGAAGAAGAATTTGAAGTTTATTATATATCTAAGAAAGAAAATATTAAATACATTTTAGAAAGTGATAGTAGTGATTAATTCGCTTAGTAACATATATAGAACTTGTTATTATTTATGTGTGTATGTATGTTGTATTTTTGGACATAATGGGTGATGTGTACATGTATTGATATAAAAGAAAACTTAATGTGATAATTATTTATATGTGTAAATATTATCTCTAAATTTCATATTGGATTTAATTTTTTTAAAGTCTAAATCTAATGTATCTTTTTTAATCATATACTAATGTCATATTATTTGTTAATTTTGTTTTCTTCTAGTGAATTGCTTACCTAGAGCTTGTAGGGGTGATTAGGCTGTTGATGTTGTTGCTTAAAGGCTTATAAGGAAAAATCAATTATAGGGAATTGGGTCATCAAATACCATTGTCAAGGAGACCCAATAGGAGACATGTGTTTATGATAGTGACATTGAATTTAATGCACCGTCGCCTCCTTAATGCAAAAATGGGTGAGGTATTACAAAAGATCAAAAACTACTAAAAGTTCCTTTCAAGAAGTTGAGTGTTGGAAATTGGAATGGGAAGACATTACCAAAACAAGTTCAAAAGGATATTTCTATTATTCTAAAGTGGAATATGCATAACACATAGGGTAGGGCTCAATTGCTCTTGAGCACAAGGAAGTATGTTGGTAAGCTTTTCAAGTTCGTAGTTTTATTAAATAATTTATAATGTCATGTATTTATTTATAGATGTGCATTTTCCTATGAATTAATTAGTACAACAATACATGATACCTATATATATATTTTCATAATAGATATGAGCGGGACTTGGTTGAAAAGGGTGTTGTACATGCTGCATTTTTAAATGTTTGTGAAAAACGATATAACCGTATAATGGTTGATATCAAGGCCTCATGTAGAAAGTAGAATTTTACAAAGAAAAGGCCATACATGTTTGATGAGGTTTGGAAAAAGCTAAAGTGCATATGGACAAAGGACCCACAGTTCAATGCTCGTAGAGAGCAAAGCTAAGTTAAGCCAAAGGCCCCAAAGTAACCCACACAGGTGGATTTATGAATTACAATGACTTTGTGCAAAATTGGTAAAATTTTGTTATCTTAATATTTTAGATTTCATATCATAATTTGTATAATATTTTTAATGTTAATTATAATATTTGTGTGAATGAACAAAATAATTGAATATGTGATATTGTAGAAAGAAAAAGATCCTAAACATAGAGATCCATCATTCGTTGATGTGATTGTTGCAAAAAATGCATCATCTAAAGGATAAAGATCAAATGCCAACATATATTGATGAGTAAGTTCGAGAGTATACTATAAGTATTATTTCTTTACCATTATTATTTCCTAAGATGTTTATTTAAGTGATATATACTTATGTTTACTAATAATTAGATTATATTTTTTGAATTCTCATTTATTTATTCATTTAAGTGAAATCAAATTACATTTTAATTATATTGAATATCATAGTTGGAAGTGTATATATGATTGAGTATGTTTTTATACTTTGTTTACAAGTGGAAGTTCATTTTTTAAGGGAAATTTTATTGAATTTTTTATAAATTCGTTATGAATTGCAAAAATTTAAGTAATTTTATTTTGGTGGTTATAATTATATTAAATATTATGGTTGCAAGTATATAGTTGAGTATATAAAGTTTTTGTACTTTGTTTACAAGGGGAAAGTTCATATTTTAGGAAAAACTCTACTGAATTGTTTATAAATTCATTATGAATTGGGAAAATTTATGTAATTTTATTTTGATGGTTATAATTATATTGAATATCATGGTTGTAAGTATATAGTTAAGTATAATATATTTTTATACTTTGTTTACAAGGGGAGAATTCATATTTATGGGGAAATTTCGCTAGATTTTTTTTATAAATTTATTATGAATTGAGAACATTTAAGTAATTTTATTTTGGTAGTTATAATTATATTAAATATCATGGTTGTAAGTATATGGTTGACTATATAATATTTTTATACTTTGTTTACAAAGGAAAAGTTTATATTTAAGGCAAATTTTGCTAAATTTTTTTTATAAATTGATTATAAATTCAAAGAATTTAAATAATTTTATTTTGGTGGTTATAATTATATTGAATATAATGGTTATAAGTATATGTTGAGTATATAATGTTTTTTATACTTTTTTATAGAAGGAAAGCCTAATTTTTAAAAATAATGAATTTTGAATTTTTTTAGATTTTTTATGAAAAAAATTAAATGATATAATTTTTTTTTTTTGTTTTGATTGATTATAGGAATAATTGATTATAGAAGCCACTCAGAAATATGAGGAGGACACCACTACATGGCCACAATTTGCTGATGCCTAACTTTTATCCCAAGTTTTTTGTGGACCTTTCAAGAATCGGCGACCTTATGGAATGCTCATTTACATGGAACCTCTTTAGAAAGAAGTCTCACATTGTAAGCGTCATCCACATACCATACCTACTAATTCTATTCAGTCATCTCAACATGTAGTGTAGCTATAACAAACTGTGATAGAACTACAAGAGAAGGTAGATAGGATGGAGTAGATGTTTTTATGATGCAAGGAGGAGGAGAAGGGGCTAGGACAAGTGGGGGATCATAATTGGCTTGGTTATAAGTTAATTGGATTGTAGGAAAAACATCTTTTGATATTATGCATGGACATGTATGACAATTTTTACATCTATAACTAGATATATCATGACACAGTACTTTAATTATTATTATAAAACATAATACTTTAATGGGGATACTACCGTCCAGTCGTGCCTCCTAAAAATTAGGAGGTAACATTGAATAAAATGACATCATTTTATATTAAGTTCTCATATCCATTGTTTTCACTTTTTTTTTTTTTTGTTTTCGGTCAACCCCTTTTCATCTTCTTCGCACTGCACCGACAGCCTTAATTTCTCAGATCTCAAACTTCCCCACTTGATTTCCTTCTTCCCCTCTCAGATTTCACTATTATTTTACTTTAATTTACTTTAAATTTTAATAAATTATGGGTGCTTGAGGGTGTAGGAAAGAGTTAATTGTTTGGGTTTTTTTTGCTTGTTTTTTCCCCTTCTTTTTGGATTGGTTTCGGGGGGGGGTTCCACCTTTTTTTTTGTTTGGGGTTCCATTTGGGGCACGGGTTAGGTTTTTGCCTTTGGGTTGCGTTCCCTTTTTTCAAAGGTTTTTTTTTTTTTTTTCTCTGTCTCTCTCTCTCTTTTTTTTCTTTTTGTTTTATGTTCTAGTTTTTGTCCCTTATACTTCCTTTTTATACCGACCCTTTTGTTTGAAGTATGACTTCTCCAATTTCTCAAAAAATGATTGAGGAGATTGATCCTATACAATCAACAAATAACGCTGCAAAAGAAAGGAATGAGTTTGCGGGATTAGAGTTGACCAGTGATGTTGCTATCTCTCTTGATGTGGTAAAAGGTGAGGAACGTGGAGAATTGTTGGGTAAAGCTAGAGAATGGATGCCTTATGAAGGAATGCAATTTCCATTAGAGGATGAAGCTCGTGGTTTTTACAATGAATATGCTAGAAGAATGGGATTTAGCATTCGAACAAAATCATCAAAGAGAACAACCCCAAATGGACCTCTTGATCGAAAGTATTATGTTTGCTACAAGGCTGGTAAAAAGAGAAATTATGAGCCTATATTCAAACCCTTGTGTGATCGCCCACAATGAGTAAGTTGTAAGGCTCGAATGGCTTTGCACTTTAAAAATAAAGTCTAGAATGTCAAAAGCTTCATTGATAATCATAACCATGAGTTATTTGACTCTCCAAATAAAGCAAGGAAATTACGCTCTCACAGTAAAGAACATCTCTTACCAAAGACAAGGGAGTTAATGGATCAATTTAAGTCAGCAAGATGTGGGCCTTCAACAATTGCAAGACTTTTGAATGTCACAGGCACTAGTAACTCAATTATCACCATTTAACAGTGCCAAAAACACTTGAGAAAAAGAGAGAGAGTAACATTGATCGAGAATGCATGACAGTTATGCAACAATTTCTTGATATGGCTGCTTTAGATGAAAATTTCTACTACACCATGGAACTTGATGAAGATGGTGTTTGTAGGAGTATTTTTTGGGCGGATGGTAGAGCGAGGGAAATGTATCAAAATTTTAGTGATGTGGTGGTTTTTGATGTGACATACCGGACTAATAAATTTCATCTACCATTTGCACCATTCATCGATGTGAACCGTTATGGGCAATCAACACTATTTGGATGTGCTCTTTTATCAGATGAGCAAGAATATACTTTTGTGTGGTTGTTTGAACGTTGGTTACTGTGCATGCGAGGTAAAGCACCAAGTGTAATCATCACTGACCAAGACCCAGCAATCACTAATGCAATTAAAAGAGTCTTTCGAACACACAACATAGGTTTTGCATTTGGCACATCTCACTCCATGTAGATGAGCACCTTCGTTCATTGAGATCACCATACAATCCTAGGTTTGATGTAGAATATTATAAGTGGATAAATTATAGTAAATCCATCGAAGAAGCCGAGAGTGCATGGAACAAATTGAAGGAGAAATATAAAAAGGAGTTTGTGGAGCCATTAACGGATAAGCAACATAATGAAAAGAAGTCTTGGTAGTGGTTGGAAAAAAATGCATGAGCAGCGTTATAGTTGGATTGATGTTTATTTGAGGGACAAATTTTTTGCTAGAATGAGATCAACTCAGCGAAGCGAGAGCATTAATTCATTTTTTGATGGCTATGTAAACTTAATGACCCCTTTATTTGAGTTTGTTACTCAATATACTAAAGTTCTAGAATGTCGTTGTGATGAAGAGGTGATTGAAGACATGTGGACCATCAGAGCAAAGCCCGATCCTGATCAATTACATCCTTTAGAAACTCAAGTAGGAAAGCTCTACACTAGAAAAGTATTTGAAAATTTTCAAAATGAAATAAAAGCATGTTTATATTGTGTTTGTGGTTACATGACCATTAGCAACGAGGTGACCACTTGTGATGGTATTTATCAATTTGGGAGGAAAGTTGAGTCACATTCTGTAAGATGTAACCGGTCAAAAAAGGAGTTTTCTTGTAGTTGTGGCAAGTTTGAGACTACTGGTATATTATGTAAACATATTTTGCATATAATGAAGCAGATTTATCGAATAAATGAGATTCCTAGAAGATACATCTTGGCTAGATGAAACTTGGCTTATAGACAACATAGTATGTATACTGGGTGTGAATTGATTAGCACAACAAAAGACTCTATGGTTTCTACTCTTGAAGTTTGGAATCTTCGAAAATCACTAAATATAGTGCACGAGCGAGCAATAAAACATCGTGACCAGTACAGTGCTATTATACCAGTAATGGAGGAAATGATGAATGTATTGGATAACGTTGACAACGAACGTGGAAGTATGGTTCATGAACAAAGTCAACAAGATACTAGTACATAGGCTTTATCTCAGGGTGCAATTTTATGTAATATAACTATTCGTTATCCAGAAGGAGTTAAAACCAAGGGTCAACCAAGAAATTTGATAGGAATTCAATCAGGAAAAGAAGTGCCACAAGATGCAGCTCAAGCACGGAAGCGAACTTGTAGCTTGTGTGGAATTAAAGGTCACGATGCTAGGACTTGTGGAAAGACAAAAAAAAAGAAAAAAGAATGTAAAATTATTGAGAAATTTATGAATTTTATTGGCCCTTTGACTTTGGTGTTACTTTCTCTTCTTTTTTTACTTAACTATATCTTATTTAGTCATGCTTAAAATACAGGAAATAGCTAACGAAATTACAACTCAGTGAGGGGAGGATTGATTTCAATAATAGAAGACTTCAGTCTTTAGGTGGTTACATGTTTAACTTGTTTTTTTGGTAGAAACAAATGCCATGTTATTTGCTTTAAAGTATGATCATTATTTATTTTGTCCTGTGATGTCCTTCCTTGCTGTAATGGATGAATCTTATGGAAGGATTTATTTTTGTGTTTGATTTTGCTTGTAACAAAGAGCTTTAGAATGGTCATATTGATTTATTTATTCTTCTGTTTCAGGTTTTTGTTTCTGGACTGTAACTTCTTTATTAAGTTTTGGGTTTTCTTTAGTTTTTCTTGGTGGTTCAAGTAATGTTCAGATTCTAATTTGTTTTGCTTTATTGTTGTGATTTGTTTCTCTTGTTTGTTGATTTTGTCCCTGTGCTGAAATACTTTGTTTCCCTCTGGTTTGATTTGGTTTGATTGATCCTTGCCAACTGAGTTTATATTGCTTGTTCTTTTGTTGTTGATTTGTTTATTGCCTTTGATATGTTTAGTCGAACTTTCTTTGGAAATCATCAAATTTGTTAATTCATGTGTTTTTTGTTTTTCTATGCTTGAGAGAGTCTAGAGATTTTAGAATTTAGTCCCTTGTTATGGTTTCCTTGTGACATTTTATCACAAATCATTAAACTTGGTTTTTGCCCTCACGTCCATATAAGAGCTCTTGTTTTGTTAATTCTTACTCTTTTCTTTTATTTGCCTTTTCATAATTTTTAACATCTTACTTCTAAACCATATCTCTCCTTTTTTGGCTTCTTTAGTTAGAATTTTATCAGCATATCTTTAATATAACCTTTTGTTTAACTTGTTTAATATAACCTCTTGTTTATCTTTAGTATAAAATGTTGGTTGGATTGTTAACTTTAATTAACCTTTGGTGAAGTGCCTAATCATTTTATTGGCCCTTGGACTTTGGTGTTACTTTCTCTTCTTTTTTAACTTAACCATATCTTATTTTGTCTTGCTTAAAATAAAAAGAACAGCTAATGAAAGTACAACTCAGTCAGGGAAGGATTGATTTTGATAATAGAAGACTTTGATCTTTAAGTGGTTGCATGTTTAACTTTTTTTTTTTTTTTTCGTAGAAGCAAATGCCATGTTATTTGCTTTAAAGTATAAAATATTGGTTGCATTGTTAACTTTAATTAACCTTTGGTGAAGTGCGTAACCATTGAGAATCTTTTTTTGGATAATAAGGTTTAATTAGCTTTTTATTCTACATGGATTTGTTGCTTCTATTACATATTCCTACTTCAAAGCAAAAATTTATTGTGTCAAAATAACTATTCTAATCCAAAAAATTTATTTGTACTTTAAAATTTTGCTTTTATGTTGATTGATCAGAATGCCTCCTCTGGTTAAGGGTAAATCATTTGGTGTTTCATGGACTTTATTTAGTTCTTTTATGTTTCATCGCTCAACTTCATATAGATTCTCTCTTCATCACAAATTCATAATACCAACTGGACAAATAGAACAATAAAAGTGAAATTAAACCCTATAATTTTTTTTTGAATAACAAAAAATAATATTTATTAATAAATGGAGTACAAGCGGTACTCCAAACCCATAAACATCATAACTTGAAAGGCATCATATTATATGAGTGGAATAGTCCTTCTGTATGGTGTCGATCCCTGAATTATGTGTCAGCACCATGTCCATGTCAGAGTTTTGGATGCTTATCATATGGTGTCGACTCTTGAATTATGTGTCAGCACCACATCCATGTTGGAGTTTTGGATGCTTACATATGGTGTAGACACCAAAATTACGTGTCGACACTATACCCATGTTGGATTTCTGTTCTCTTTTGTAGTTTCTTCATATATCACTATTTTGATCCTCAAAAACTTCCCACTTGTCAAACCTAGGTTGCTTTGTCCACTCAAAAATTTAAGTGCCTCTGTTTATCTCCCACAGTTCTACCTAACAATTGCAAATTTCTTAATATTCTTTCTGCTATCACAGTTGATCTTCATGCAGCTTATGGGATTATATATCCAATCTCTTTTATCATTAAGGTGTGTTGTGTACATAGGAAATTAAACCCTATAATATCAAATACAAATCAGAAATAAGGTGTTTGGTGTACATAAGAAGTATAATGCATGCTTATTCTGATTGCGTTGTATTCCTTTACCAGTCCACATGCTAAGAGAAAAATTTACCGTCCCTCAAGACCATAATCAGCTTCCACCCCTAAACATCGAAGACCATCAACAACACCTGACCTACCATATCTATCATCTTTTTAGTATTTGTTGTTAGAAAGCTAAATATGAAATAAAACCCAATTACAACCAGCACCAAAGCACAAAACTCTTCAATATAGCAGCCAACTTCATGATCAAACCTAACATTTAATTGAGTGAAACCCAAATCAAAAATAAGAAGAGTCCCATGTTTAGTTAACTTTGCACCACATTGAGCACTAATATAATCCAATAAAATTACCCAAAAAACTAGAAACCGCAAGCCACTCCCTCATTGAATCAACTGCTTCGCTCTTCATCATGAAAATCATAAACCCATCCTGAGAGCTTTCCAAAGCAACATAAAGAAAAGCTAGAAACTACAAACTACCTCTTCACTGAATCGACTTGACAATGAATGGTGAAGAACGAGTCGAAGGAAACCCCCAAAAAGTTAGATACCCCTACCTCTTCCTCATTGAATTGATTCGAAGATGAATGGTGAAGAATGAGTCGAAGGAAACCCCCAAAAAAGCTAGAAACCCCTACCTCCTCCTTGCTAAATCGATTCGAAGATGATGGTGAAGAACTAGTTGAAGAAGCCCCAAACAATTCACCCCTCAAGTGCCCAAAAATGTTAGAAACCCCTGCCTCAACCTCACTGAATCAATTCAAAGATGATGGTGAAGAACTAGTCGAAAGAATCCCAAACAATTAACTCTTCCCTACACCCCTCAAGCACCCATAATTAATCAAAATTCGAAGTAAATCGAAGTAAAATAATAGTGAAATCTGAGAGGGGAAGAAGGAAATCAATTGGGGAAGACTGAGATATGAGAAATTAGGGTTATTAGTGAAAAGAAGATGAAAGGGGCTGGCAAAAAAAAAAAAAAAATGAAAACACAGGATATGAGAACGTAATATAAAATGACATCGTTTTACTAAGTGTTACCTCCTAATTTTTAGAAGGCACGGCTGATCGGCATTATCCCCTACTTTAATTATTAATTTAGGTCAAGTTTTATATTTATGTGTTTTTAGGTGCACTTAGTTTCAATTTAGATGTTTTAATATATATTTAAAACTAGTTTAGTAGAACTTTTATTATGTTAATTATAAATTTTATACCCAAAAATTAATAATAGAGAAAGTAGAAAACAGAGAAGGTAGAAAACGACAAATAAAGCAATTTGCATGTTAGATGCTGAAAGATGGTTGCACAATTTATTTTGATTAGTCATACCAATCAAAATTGGAGGGAAGAAATTTTTATAACTTAATTCAGTCTAGCTATTTGACCAAATTAAATAAATATTTTAATTTCATTATTACAGTCAGGAAAAAAGAAGAAGAAGAATAGTTTTCTAATTTCTGTTGTTGCTTGCTTCTCATTTGAATTTTTTGGGCTAAAATGGTTTGAAATTTCCACCATGTTTATTTCGGTCAGTTTTACTATCTGAATTAAACTCCAACATATATAAATGTTAGTGCCCAGACTCTTTTCCTTACTTCTCCAACTTCTCTTCATTTCTTTCTCCTCCACCTTCAACACTTCTCATTATCTCTTATTTCTCAAACTCTCAACAATTCTCTTTACATTTCCATTACTTCTTCATGTCTTGATCTTTGTTTTTCTTTTTCTTATTCACTTTTCTTATTTATTTTCTTTAGTATTATGTTTTCTATTTTTATTGATATTCATATATTTTCCTCCAAAACTAATACTAATTCCTTTCTTTCCAATCTCATTTACTTTTATTTTCTTTAATTATTTACTTATGTAAATTTATTTTTACTTTTTATAATTTTATGTTTTTGGTGTTCTACTAATGATTTAGTTTTTCATTTTCTAGGTTCATGAATTTGGCAAACAACTGAGGTAGCATTTTAGAGGTAAATATTACATAATTTACTATTTACACTCATTTATATTCTTTTCATATATTTTTTTTAGCTTTTTTGCATGCATGATTTAATTTATATATTTCTATTTGTGGTTATATATATATATATATATATATGAATTTGCCTTATTTTTGTGTTTATGTTAGATTCTTTTTGTAAATGCAAAGTAATTATTGAGTTGTTTTCATCATTTTTTTTTTCATATCTAACAATTTAATTACAATTATTAATAAATAAGTGTAATAATAATTAAAAATCATAAAAGGAAAAAAAATTAAATAGAAAAGAGTTATGTATTATTGATGATATTAAAATTGAATTTTTGATAATACCAAAATTTATTACAATATTTATTATTTAAATTAAAATTCAGTAAATAATTTTATTTTATTTTATTTTGTAATATACATACTTATTTCGATCACATTTCTTAACTAAAATATAATTCAACAATTTTTTTAAAAAAAAATTCATGCTTTTTTTGGTAAGTCATTTTGATTGAAAACATGTTAAGTGAATTGTTATACACTACTTATTTCGGTGAATACCTTTAACTAAAATAATATTCATCAAATTTCCAAAAAAATCCATATTCTATTATTTCAGTTAGTCGTTTCAATCGAAAACATAGCAGGCGGAATTTGATTTAACTATTATTTTGGTCAATTTACTTGACCAAAAAATTGAAATGTAAAATACCAAAAATATATATTTTTATTAATTCCGTCATGTAAATTGACAAAATAGTATTTGTTTGACTTTCTAGTTTACCTCTGTTTTGTCACTATTATTGACCAAAATAATTAAATAAAATAATATTTTTATATTTCAAATAAATTATTTATCCAAATATATAAGTTACTTAATTATTTACTTTAGTAATTTTTCAGTTAGTTATTTTAACCAAATTAATTTATATTTTAGTCAAGAAAAAATTCTCTCCGAAATCCTATTTCATACCAAGGGTGTTCAAACCAACAATTTGATCAATAATCTTAACCGAAATAACAATTTTTGGGTAAGAAATTTGCCTTGTGCAATCAATGCTTTTGACCGAATTCTACCTCTTTTCTAGTAGTGGGAAACTCGGCAGCTGATTACATGGCTTCCATTGGGCATGGCTCACCTCTAGGCATTTAGTTTTTTTCAGCACCACCAATAGGCATAAACCAAATTTTGCAAGGAGATAGTGCAGGGACTGTGTTCGGAAGGGTTCAGCTGTTAATTTAACTTCTGATGTACTAAAAACAAAAAAAAAAAAAAGGGCGTGTACTCGATTTCGGCACAAGTAACAATTTTGTTGATCGTTTAATCTCTCTTTTTGAAAAAGTTAAATGTTAAATTTGATCTCTCAACTTTATAAAATGTACATTTTTGATCCCTCAACAAATTTTTGTATTTTTTTGATCCCTCAATTATATGAAATGCACTCCGTTAGTCATTATGTTAATTTGGGCCGTTAACCCTGCTTAGGTGGCATTTTTTATATTTTTTTTGATGATGTGGAGAGCAAAACTTAAAATAGTGATGATATGCATAAAACTTTTGTTATGTCACATGCTACCCTGTCGAAAACATGCCAAATCCATCCAAATGGGTCCCACATCACCACTAAGAATTGCTTCTTTACCCATCGGTTACTGCTTCTATTCTTTCTATCAACGATGTTCTTTTCATTTTCAAGATTGAAATCATTTAGATAATACTTAAAAAATATGAAAAAAATCCCAAAAATCGTTCACAATAACCTGCAATTTGGATAATCCCTTGGCAAACAAACATATAACAAAAAAAAAAAAGTAGAGCTGAATTCAACAGAACTTAGCAGATCTGGATTCGATGTAACATAGCAAATAGGTTCCATTGAACCCAACTCGATTCATTGAACGCAGCTGCCCAAAAATCCCTCACAACAACCTGCAATTTGGATAATCTGTTGGCAAACAATCATATAACAAAAAAAAAATCAATTGCCCCAAAATCCCTCACAACAACTTGCAATTTGGATAATCTCTTGGCAAACAATCATATAAACAAAAAAAAAGTGGAGCTGGGTTCTGGGTTCCGTCGAACCCAGTAGATCTGGGTTCCATCGAACCCAGTAGATCTGGGTTCCATCGAACCCAGTAGATAGGCGGGGTTCCGTCGAACCCAACAAATTAGGTTCGATGACCTGAGGAAGAAAAGGAAGAAAAAAAAAAATAAAAAGAGAAAGGAAGAAGATGAACGGAATTTTTTTATTTTATTTTTTTAAAATATAAATAGTAATCATGTGAGTTAGCATGAAAAAAAATTTCATATCAACACGTTTTCAATTTGTTTTTGCCATATCATCAAAAAAATTATAAAAAATGCCACATGAGTGAGTTAACTATCTAAATTAACAAAAGGACTAATGGAGTGCATTTCTTAAAGTTTAGGGATTAAAAAAGTGTAAAAAATTATTAAAAGACCAAAAATGTGTAACTCACTAAAGTTGAGGGACCAAATTTAGCATTTAACCTTTTGAAAATGAGAAATAGTTGTCATGAATCGGTTTTGGTTCGGGCCGAAATGAATAAATGCCCAACCTTTTTAGGCCCAAAATAATGGCCCAACCTCTTTTTGCCCAAAACAATTGACTAACCTACAATTGATTTTTTTTTTTTAATTTCAAAGATTAAAAATTAAATTTTAAACATGTAATAAATCTATAACTAGAACTTATAGTTAATGAATAACCTATAATTAAAACCTCTGTTATTCTTGATTAATTTAAAATTGAAGTGTGTTAAATTCCATAATTTTTTTTTAAATTTTTTTAAAATTTATTTCTTCATCCAACCTTTACTAATAAGTTTCTTGACATAACTTATAATTGTAACTTATAATTGAATTGAATATATGCAAAGAAATTTTTTTAAATAGAAAATAATTACAAATGGTTTGCAGCCAGAAATTAAAAGAAAAAAAAAAAGGTTGGCGGGTCCCAATAAAACGGTGCGTTTTAATGTAGTAGAGATTACAAATGGTTCGGCCAGAAAATGACAGTTTTAGGGTTTTATCGGGGGTTAGAATTGGAATTAAGAACAGCAGTCCTGAACAGCCTCAAAACTGCTGATGGGGTGCTCGATTGATCAGGGAAACTGAGAAATGGAAACATCGGAAGCGAAGACACCACGATCTCCACCGCCGCCGCCAGTGCAAGAACCTGACCTCAAGAAGCTCAAGATGTCCACCACCACCTCCGATGACGACAAACCTATCAACGCAACCGACGACTCTGGCGCCGCTTCTGGACAGAAACGGAGGTACAAACGCCGCAAGATTGCCATTTTCTTCGCATATTGTGGTGTGGGCTATCAGGGGATGCAGAAAAACCCAGGAGCCAAGACCATCGAAGGTGACCTAGAAGAGGCACTCTTCCACGCCGGTGCCGTTCCCGAGCAGGACCGAGGGATCCCTAAACGCTATGACTGGGCGCGCTCGGCTCGTACTGACAAGGGCGTGAGCGCTGTGGGCCAGGTTGTCTCCGGCCGATTCTATGTTGACCCGCCAGGCCTCGTTGAACGACTCAATTCGAATCTTTCGGATCAGATTAGGATATTTGGGTACAAGCGCGTGACAGCGTCGTTCAATGCGAAGAAGTTTTGTGACCGCAGGCGGTATGTGTATCTTCTTCCTGTGTTTGCTCTTGATCCTTGTTCGCATAGGGATAGGGAGACTGTGTTAGCTAGTTTGGGGTCTGTTAATGAGCTTGTTAAGTGCTTGGAGTGTTCAGAGAGAGGGCGTAAGGTGGTAGGTGTGATGGGCAAACGTAGTTTGGAAGCAAAATCTCAAACATTTCAGTTAGGCATTTCATCGAACAGTGGAGATGCTATAACAAACTCCAAAGTTGAAGAAGATGTTCTGGTTCCTACGGGGAATAATGATGGAGATAGCACAAATGCCGCATCTCTTCCTGTGGATAATACGAATTCTGAATCTATAAATGAAGATAATGTAATTCCTGAATCTGTTAATGAAGCTGAGGTTTGTGTTGACAATGGCAATTCTGATATTGCAGTGGAAACTATCAATTCTAGCCACCAGAATGAGGATACTGAAATGTGTTCTGGGTTTGAGGAAGAGAAGGTTAATGGCAAAGACAAACTTCGGAAAGGAAGTGGATTTTGCTATGGTGAGAAGGAGAAAGAGAGATTCAACAGAATACTGAAGTATTATACAGGGACTCACAACTTCCATAACTTCACCACCAGAACAAAAGCAGAAGACCCTTCTGCACGGCGCTATATTATTTCATTTCAAGCAAACACAACTGTTTCTATTGAAGGCATTGAGTTTATCAAGTGTGAGGTGGTGGGTCAGAGTTTTATGCTTCATCAAATACGAAAGATGATGGGACTTGCTGTGGCTATTATGAGGAATTGTGCTCCAGAGTCATTGATAGAAACTGCATTGCAAAAGTAAGTACTGCTGTTCTTTTCTTAGTTCTGTTGCTTAAATCAACTACGGTTTTCTCTAACATAACAGATCACAGGGATGTTAACATCAATGTACCTACAGCTCCTGAGGTTGGGTTATACTTGGATGAGTGCCTCTTTACATCATATAACCAAAAATGGAAAGACAGTCATGAAGAGCTTTCTATGAAAGCTTATGCAGAAGAAGCGGAGGAATTCAAAATGAAGCATATTTACTCTCACATTGCTTCAACAGAACATAAGGAAGGAGTTGTTGGGCTGTGGTTGCATTCTTTAAACCACAGAAACTATCCTGATTTACGAGTTGCGAGTAACGGAGATGGAGACACCAGTGATGAGAAAAGCATTCAGGTGGAGCTCAACAGAGACACCATTGAAGGGAACAATGGAGACACTGCCGAAAAGCCACAAATCGAAAGTGCCAAAGAAGAGAACACTGATGAATGAATACATATTCCCACAACCACAGGGGAACATATGATGGTTTAGTTAATCTATGTATTTTTGTCTTTCATTTTTTTTTTTAATCATTTTATTTTTGGGGATAAACTCAGAAAATGTTACTCTCTTTTCAAATGTCTGGCGTATCATTTCGTGTTCTCATAAATCACTAATCAGTCATAGCATTGAAATTTCCTTGATGGGCGATTGCAACTATGCATTCTTCTCGTTCTAATCCTGGGGAAACTGAGGCTACTTGTTTGGGACTTATATCTACTATACTATTGGTTATTTGGTTTATCGATATTGGACTTCATCCGAAGATAAGTTATGTTACAGCCACTAATTTTCGTGATTGTCCTCAATTTATGGCTTATTTGCCTTTTTGAGGTTTGCATCTTGCATAAAGCAATTAGGGACCAAAGTAGCTCATTGCTCATTCTTTCTTTCTTTCTATGGAAGTCTCCTTGATTTAATTATGAGGTTTTTATTTTTTATGAGTTGTCATTTTGTTATTAAAGGGGATACCAGCTACGGTTGATGCGGCATCCCGCCCGTATAAAAACAAATTTGAGATAATGGCCCAGACCCAACCGGTACCTTAAGATAACCTCATAACTTACTGTGTAAGTAAAGGTCGTTGAGCCAGCTGCTTTATCAGTCTTGAACCATTTTCTCTGGCTGTTTGCTTTACTGGTGACAATTTGAAACTGAAAAACCTTCCTCGGAGAGAACATACGATGGGTTCTGATTGGACGCAACTCCCCTCAGAACTGCTGGAATCAATCTCCAAGAAGCTCAATATTTACGCCGATTACCTTCGATTCCAGGCCGTCTGCCGGAGTTGGCAATCCGCTGCCCCCAAAATCCCACATCACCTCCCTCTGCAGCCCCCATGGCTCATGCTCCCTCCTACTTCTCAGCAAACTTACCGTGCCGTTTTCGATCTCTCCACCCACGAACTCCACTGTCTCTCCCTTCCTGAAGATTGCACCAAGCCATCCATGAGCCCCCGTGGCTCTTCCCAAGGCTGGCTCTTTATCCTCGATTTATCCCCAAATATCTTCCTCCTTAACCCTCTTACTCGATCCAAGCTCGATTTGCCTCCGCTTTACAGTTTCCCCAATGTAAGAAGCTTCGATTCTCACTATATTGATGGTGAATACATGCTCCAGTCCTCCTCTCCCCAAGGTTTCTCCTATCGTCGAAGTTCGCCGTACATGCGAGATTGTTACATAAAGAAAGTAGTGCTCTCCTCCAGTCCATCTAAGGATCCCAATTTTGTGGCCACGGCGATTGTTAACTTCCCCGGCCAATTGGTTTATTGCAGGAGCGGGGATGATTCCTGGAGCGTTACTGAAGTTCCAAATTCTTTCTCTGAGGATGTTATATATTTCCATGGGTCGTTTTATACCGTGAACAATTTTGGTGATTTGGCTGTCTGTGATCTAAGTGGTGCTTCGCCTCAGGTTTCTTTCATCAGAACGCCCCGGACATCTCCTTTCCGCTGCGAAATACTGTATTTGGTGGGTTCGGATGACGGGTTATTTCTGCTGGCACGACATCATGGTACTGAATGGCTGGGTGGTAATGACGGCCGACGTCGAACTTTCAAGTTTGATGTTTTTAGGCTGAACTGGAGTGGACCTGTGTGGGAGGAGGTAACAAGTTTGGAAGGGAAGACGCTGTTTGTTGGGGAGAGTTCTTCCTTCTCCTTGCGCGCTTCTGATTTTCCAGGTTGTAAGTATAAGGAGAACTGCATATACTATACTGAAGAATACTCAGAAAGTAATTTTGATTATGGAATGTATGCGGATAGGGGAGGTGATATAGGCATTTACAATGTGGTAAATGGGAATATCGAATCTTTGCCAACATTTTTCTTCCAGACATTACAGTGGCCACCGCCAATATGGGTTACACCGAATCCATGGTAAAAAGCAGGAGCTTTAATGTAAGTCTAAATGCTTCTTCTCTTGATTTCTTTTCATGTCCAAGTGTACATAATTGGTCTCACCGTAGAACGAGCTATGAAATGGCTGCCTTTGTTTGAAATAATAAAAATCTCAATCTACATTTTAGACAATGAATGGAACAGTTAGGCCCTTTTGGTTTAGTTATTTGAATGACACCTAGGAAATGTAGATGTGAGTTGTGGCATTTCTTTCCTTTGAATAACCCTCTTTTCCTTTGTTTGAAGGGCATGGTTCTGGTTGCTGCATGTGGGTGTTTTTAGTTGATAGTTCAAGCTTCAAGGGATCAATATTGTTAACAGTAAGCCATTGTGCATTCATCTGTGTCAGTGTGTTTAAGAACTCAGCTTCATATGTAGCAGAGCTGGAGGGTTGTCATGAAATCTTCACTTGGATGTCTCGTCTACCTTCACTTGTTTCATTTGAAGTTTTCTATTTTTATAAATGAATTGAGTGTCTCTTCCTGTTTAAGATTGGATGCTTTAATATCATATCATTAGCTACCTTGTAAACGTTTCAACTTTCACCTTTTGGACTTACTACACAACACCCTTTATACATATATGTACAAGACTCCCACGCAGCTCCCAAAGTAAGAGCAAAACAGAGCGAGGCACTGACTTCATCAGGATCAGAACTTGCTCTCTAATTCTACGCTATGCACCTCGTGGAGTGGTACATGGAATTGGAAACAGAAGGGTCTACAGGGGATGCACTGTAAATGCTAGGTCCAGGATGGTCACTCTCCAACCCATAGTCCATTATTGGACAGTTCTCTGGCTCCTTATCATGATCATACACAAACTCCGGCATCTCCATCTCGGTCCTCCTTACATGGTGCCATAGAAACTCTAGCCTGTGCACTTACCGCAGCTTCCGGTACAACCTGCACGCTCACAAGCGTTTCCATAAAAAATTCTACTTAAACCGTTAAACGTCTTTTAAGAGAAAAAAAGCTAGGACCATGACATACAGATACAGGTACCCAGAAACAGAGCCTCACCCTTTGCTGAAGAGGAGACAACCAAATATGGCGAGGAAGAGTCTAGACTGTGAGCCAGGATGCAAGAAATACACAGCCTCGAGATTCTCCTTGACGTTGATTGGAATAGTTTCATAGATAGACCATAAGCCCCAAATTCAGGGGAAGTTTCTGCTCCTCTGAACGCCAGTGTGCACGTACACCACTGAGAATGGCTTTCCCCCAGTCTTTGGATATATCTTCTCCTCCAAATACTTCTGCAAAGCCTCGCTACTCACTATCGGCGCTAAACAAAGAAACCTTTTATTAATTAGAAGTTGTTATAGGTTGAATGATGTTCGTTTCTGTTTCACCATTGCCGGCTTATTATGTTCATTACTGTAAGCATGTGTTAGTCGACCCTAAACAACGGCAATCGCAAAACCGCGAGCTGAATGCTTCGCTAGTAAATGTCAAAATAATACCATCATAGCAAAATAATACCATCGGCCATATGATTTAATGGTAGAATTATCTGCACTCCTTATTACAAATTTAAGGTTCAATATCTAATTATTATCTATAAAAAATAAGGTTCAAAATAATATAATTCTTTTAATGACAATTTTTTCTTACAAACTAGCTTGCTGTAATGCAGGAGATTACCAATAATCACCACAAGAACATATTCCATTAGCAAAGTGATGAAACCGCTTTGGGTCTCGGATTATGATTGTACGCTTCTCAATCAGTGATATAAGCTTTGCAGTGCCATGACAATCACCGCATATTCTAAGGTTCTTGGTTATGATCAAGGGCATCTTGTCATTAGTCATCAGAAGACCAAATGCAATTGCCAACTTCTCGCTGTGCTTGTTGATCATATCCTCTTTCACCTCCTCCTCAACATCATGTAGAACAAATTCTGTTTTAGGCACAAAACCGGCTTTCCTAATCTTCTCAATCAGCTCTTCTAACTTGATGTATATCTTACCTGTCTCGGGGTGAGATCTATCTCCCACAACAAAACAATGGATCTTGTTTTTGTGTTCAATAAAACTGTATCCAGGTATTCTATTGAAACCTCTCTCTTTCATTAGTGCTCTCACCGTAGAGGCCTCAATCCATCGGCCTGCTGCTGAATATATATTGGACAGCATGATATAGTTCCTGGCATCAGAAGGGTCTAAACTAAACAATCTTTCTGCAACTTCCCTTCCAAGTTCAACATTACCGTAGATCCTGCAAGCACCAAGAAGAGTCCCCCAGACACCAGAATTTGGCTCTACTGGCATTCCTTTAATCAGCTCATAAGCATCTTTGAGTTGTCCAGAGCGTCCCAGGAGATCAACCATGCATGAATAGTGATCTAATCTGTACTTAATCCTGTAAAGATCAGACATAATCCTGAAGTAATGTTTACCCTCATCAATAAGTCCTGAATGGCTGCAAGCGCTTAACAAATGAGTGAATGTAACATGATCAGGCTGCACACCATTTTTCACCATAAGTTCAAAGAGCTGAATGGCTTCTTTCCCATGTCCATGCACAGCATAGCTTGCAAGCATGGCAGTCCAAGCAACCGTATCGGGATAGACCATCTCTTTGAAAACCTCTCTTGAAGAACTCAACCTTCCCAACTTGGCATACAAATTCAAAAGTGCAGTTGCTATGGTAATATTTGAATTCAAACCAAACCTTAAAATCAAACCATGGATGCTCCCAGCTACATTTCCTATGCCTAAACATTCACAAGCTTGAAGCACGATCAACATAGTGGCTTGATCAAACTCAACTTCAGCCCTTCTCATCAAGGTAAAAATGATAATTCCTTTCTCTGCGAAACCATTTTCAGAGTACACCACAATCATTGAATTCCATGAAACCAAATTCTGCACTGGCATTGCCTCAAACAACTGGGAAGCAGCTTCCAAGTGCCCAGATTTTCCATACAAGTTAATAAAAGCATTTACTATTTTCACTTCACTCAGCATACCCAATTTCATTGCCAAACTATGAATGCACTTCCCCTCACTCAAAGCTCCCTTGTATGTACAAGCTGGGATTAAGGATAAAAAGGTGATATAGTTAGGTTGAATATCCGTTTGAAATCTCATCCTAGAAAACACAACCAAGCACTTTTGCTTATACCCACTTCGTGAAAATACTGAAATTAAAGAATTCCAGGACGCCAAATCTTTCTCAGGCATTTCATCAAACAAATCCTGCGCATCCTCCTCGCACCCCAATCTAACATACCCAGACACCAGCTGGTCCCCAATGAATCCATGCCTGTAATTCACAGATTTGATAACTCGCGCATGAAATGCTTGGCAATCGGAGACGCGGGAGCAAGAGCTAGTACCATTAATTAGGGCTGAGACATATGAGTCTAAATTCAAATGTGCGTGAAACTGAAAAGAGGAATGAGAAGAATGGACACTGCAAAGTCTTGTCCGAGTAATTAATCTGTAGAGATACAATGGATTTTGTTCAAGGCGATTTGCGGAGTTACAGAATCTCTGAGAAGAACAAGCAGCTGCCCTTATCATCTTCCATCATTCACTTCAAAACAAAAGCACCCAGTAAGGCAGCCACATCCATTATCTAATTAAGGCTTTTGTGTTTAACACTTTATTTTAAAAAAAATATAAATTTACTAGAATAATATTTGTTAATCGAATTTTTCAAAAATTTAAAAAAAAAACCTGAAAAACTTTAATAAAATAATATAAAAAGACTTAAATAATTTTATTGTTTATAAGAATTTTATTTTTATTTAAAAATAAATTATTTTAATTTTTTTCAATGTAAGTTTATTTTGATGATGTAGTTTTAAAATATTTTTTAAAATTTTTTTATTAATAATAAAAAATTTTAAATTCAAGTTACATGTTATGTAAATAAAGGGAATTAAAATATAAGAGAAGATGCAATATAAAATAATATATATATATTGCCTTTTCTTACCGATTGGTAAAGGAATTTGGTTGACTTTATTTTTTTTTTAATATTGATTAACATACTAAATAACATCCTGCTGCTATTTTTTTTTTTTCAAATATTATGTGACTTAAACATAAAATCACTTATTTTTATGAGAATAAAAATGAGAAAAATGTGTAAATAAGAATGTCAATTATATATTTTTTTATTTAAAAATGTTTCCTGCTGCTATTTTTTATTTTTATTTTTTGTTCAAATATTATGTGATTTAAACATAAAATCACTTATTTTTATGAGAATAAAAATGAGAAAAATGTGTAAATAAGAATGTCAATTATATATTTTTTTATTTAAAAATGTTAAATTTATTAGTTTTTAAATAAAAATGTTAATTTAAAAATTTTTTTATTTAAAAATATAAACTTTTAACTTTTTTATTTAATAATTAATTAGATAATAATACTAATGTAACAAATTGATTTTTTAATCGAAATATTAAAAGTTGATATTTTTAATTTTAAAAAATTGAAAATTGATATTTTTAAATAAAAAAAATAAAAAAATGATACATTTATTTAAAAATTGATAAAATTAACATATTTAAATAATAAAATACAAAAATAACGTCTCTATTTAT